AAGGAGGAGATTTGGTCACAAAATTGGAGGTTCAATTTGACAAGATTGCTGAATCAATAAAAGAGGAATTAGCAGAAGTGATGACACATTGGAATTAATCACTATTGGTATAATTACTGTCCATTAGCATTAATTATGCTAATTGTTATTAAACTAAAAATTGATATCAGTTCCATCCATTTTTGTTCCCTCTATGTTGGAAAATGAAATCGAAGGGAAAACCTTTCTGTGGGAGTAATACAATTTCCCTCGGGTTCAATTGGGAGAGGAGGGGCGAGATCTTCCTACTAAACAAACTACTCCCATATTTTATCCCTCTGAACATTCTCCTCTCTCTCGCTCGGGAATGTCGGATAATCCGAAATTAATTCTTAACTGTAATCAAGTAATTGTATTTCTTTTAAAGAATTGGACAATTTGATAGGATTTGAAGATTCACCATCCGTGAGAAATGTAAATGAGCTTTACGTCGTTCTTTGTTAGTAATTAACAAATTCTCACCATGGAAACTGTTTTTTTTATCGCATGTCCATTTACATATTTTTTTCTGATGATTATTCTTTACATTTTTGTCTAAATCATTCCTTTCCATAGCTACCTTTGTAGCCACTCTAATTGTATCACGAGCCCATTAATTCACATCTGTTTAAACATTTAAATATCCCAAATTTTTGACAACAGAATGTTATTTCTCGTCTTACTCTTGTCTGAGTGCTATACTTCCTCTACTGAAATAAATCATTGAAATAAAGTCGTCAGCGGATTATCAATTCAGTAAATCAATCGTAAACTATTTCAACTAAGTCAAATCAACTCCAAAAACTTTCACGACAAATTTTTTGGCGGAATGTCTGCAATAATAATTAAAGCTGCTTAACCGGCGAGAGAAAAACTGCAAAAACTTCTGGAAGAAATCAGAAATATCAATTTGACTTCATTAAATCAAGTGTTAACTTTGGAAGAAACACACCAACAAATGAGCCAAAAAATTATCGAAGAAAGGATAATGCGCCTCGAATTACATATTGGTACTCTCGAAATAACCAACGAAGAATGGAAGCGATGTTGTGATTAGTTGAAAATTGGTTTGAATCGAGAGTTCTCTTTTCTACATTTTTGACAGATTTGTGTTCTAATTGTGTACATTCTCTCAAACTATTTAAATACTCATTTTTCCATATTTTCCAAAATGTATTTAGAGTTTCTAACATATTTGACCAGTGTTTAACAAGTTTCTCCTGGGTATTTAACTTATGTGAAATAAATTCATCTTGATTAGTATCATTGTTATGTGATATGAATAAGGAAGCATTAGGCGAAATGAAATCTATTGATCGTAAAATAATTGAATCGTCAAAATTTACATAAGTTAAAGGATAGGTGTATGTATACTTTGTACTTCAATTTTGATACTGGATTGCTTCAGATTTTCACCCATGACTTAAAGTTGTCGGAGTATTCGTTCTGTGACTTCTAGTGTTGTCTTCCATTCATGATCATTCCTTTTGATGGAATACAATTCGTTGTACACAGATCTTTTGATCGTGTAGGATTGTCCGAACTTCTCGACGAGGATATTTCTGACGATGGTGTAGTTCTCCGGAGTGATGTCGTAACCCCTAATAGTTTATAAAGCGTCCCCTCTGAGACAATCGATAAGATAATTTAGTTTTTGGATGTCAGGAATCGTTTGTTGGTGTATAGCAGAGTGGAAGATGCTCCAAAATTCCCTCCATTGATTTGGGTTCCCACTAAAGGTAGTGATTGGATACTTTGATATTTAGATTGACTCCTTAGGCAGAATTGTTCCCTCCTTTCCTAGGCGCTGGAAAAAAAAAGTAATGCTCATAGATCATGCAAGAATTGTGGTGCAGAAAACATTTTCTCATTTGCCTTTCCTGATCAGTCACATTTATCTGTAATTATCTCTATTAAAGAGATGAAGCATTGGAGACAATTTTTTCTCGATAATTTGTTGAGACAACACCTGATTTATGTTAGTACCTGAAAAACACTCCAAAAATAAATAAATCCATAACATTTGTTACTCATTGATTTTAGCAAAAAACGCAAAAGCATGCTTTGTTTATTTTCTTGCTTTAAAATTGATATTTGGTATCAGGAAGGTATTATTTTATTTTGAATACAAAAAGTGATCACAGAAATAGCGTCCTTTCTGATGTTGACAATTCTAGCAAGAAATCAGTTATTAGAAGGAAATCATCATTGAATAAAAGAAAAGTTTTGCAGAGCGCAACACTTTTTTAAAGCGTGCATTTTTATGTGAATCAATTAAAAAAAACTTCACGGATTGATAGTTTAAAGACATTAATAAAACTGCTTTGTGGTTTCCCATATGGAGGAGTTTTAAACAATTGGTTAAATAATAGAAGATTTCAACTTAATCCAACAATATGCTAATGTATTTTTATGAATTCATTATTTAATAATTGTATACAATAAGCACAAAATCATTACTCATACTCAAAATCTTCCAAACTTTCTGCATCGATCGCAACTTTTTCTTTGCATAATAATTACAAATTAATGATCTACCAGAGTGAAAGATGAGGAAAACATCCCGTAAGTTACGCATTTATTCCTTCATTATCTAATCGATAAGATTAGTTGAGAATCAAAGAATAGATTCTCTTACCTGTCCTTTTATTCTTTTTTTTTTTATTTTCACACATTTTCAATTTATTCTGATTTACTAAATCGACCAAACTATAATAATAGTAATAAATCAGTTTTCTATAATATTATAGTCACTTTATAAGGGGTAACTGATAGCATCATAAATGCATCATAAATGCTATCAGTTACCCTTCTAAATTTCGAATTAGAGAAATGCAATGTTTTTTATTGCTGCTATCCTTACCTTGATATTTATTTAAGTATTAATTATTCAAGTATTAGTTACTAAATTATATTACTAATCCAAAAAATATCAGCAATTTAACAGTTATTATTATAATTAAATGTTCACTATATCATGATATAATATTATGAGAATGATGTTTTATAGTTGTTAATCAATATTTGCAGGATCCAATAAATTCCATATTTCTGTGGCTTCCTGTAATACATCAATAAAAATGGAATGTCTCATTTCCTCCTCTTTACTGTTATACAGTCCCAGAGTTATATTCAAATTACTTTGCAGATCAAGTAATTCATACAAATAATTCTTTGCTGCATTACTACCATTTGATCTATCCAGCCTATCTCTGAGAATTCGATCACGCTTCACGATATACCGCTCTTCATCTAGACGATATTGACGATACTGTCTCTGTAATTATCTTAACTTTAAATTAAGAAAATAAACTGATATTTTTCAAGCTCTTAAATCATATGATCAACTCGAATCTAATCACTTTTTGAAAATGTTGCAATATGCTTTCAAAAGATTGCTAATAACAACCTTGATTTGAGCTCCTTGTCTTTCTGCCCATTCTTGACATAAATCATAAAATTGAGTTCTTGTAAGTTCCGGTTGATGCTTAAACAATGCTTCATATTCCTCCCTTTTCTCTGTGGGCATTTTTTTGATGAAATCCGGCAGGCAATTTGTATTCAGAAAAATGTAACTTCCGAATAACCAAAAAAGCGTCGTTGGAAGCATTTCCAACATTTCTTTTTCATTAAATTCTAAACTTTGAAAAAATGGAGGATGAAAATATTTTTTTTCAAATTTTTTATTAAATAATAATAAATTATCAATTACTTATTTATTTCATTTGCTGGAAAGCCAACAGTTTAACACAATATATGTTATATATGCTAAAACAAATTCAGACTGATTAATGTGATGCAACATTTTCTAAATTTTATATCTGAAATTTGAAGATTATATAAAAAACTACAAGTAAAATCTTTTCTACACTTATAAATTTTCGCATTTTATGTCAGACTTATAAGTAATCAATTTCGATTTCCTGTTAAATTCTGGATATCGACAAAATAACAAATCCAAATCGTAAAATTGTGCAGCAAATAAGAGAGAAGCTCACGAATTCATCGTTTATAAATAATCGGAATGATCATCTTTTCAAGCTGAAATGACATCATTTTTGTTTATTTATGCAATACAACATTTCAATTTGATTAAAAATTAGAAAAAATGATACCGTACTCGCTTTTGTTATTGAAATTTGTTCCGAATTTTGTAATATTTACATTTTGAAATAAACCAAATGATAAAAAAAACGTTAAGTCCTTTATGCTTTCTGTCAAATGAATTTATTTTTTTTTCAAATATTTTCAAAAAAAAAACGAAATATTTTAAGATATTTTCTAATCTTTCAAGATTTCACAAACAATCCTATCATTATCAAACTGTAGGATGATTTTTTCATTTCGCTTTCCTTGGGCAATTTTTGGCCGTCGGCATTGCATTTTGATTAGTCACTGTACACCTCCACTACTTTAGCCTTTAAAACTTTTACTAAAATATGGCAAATTCATTGAAAAATTTAACCGTAATGATATCTGATTCTTTTGCTACATCACTTTCTCGTAAAATTTTTTAAAAGAATTCTTATAAACTCAACTTTTCCACATTCCCTTTCATGCTGAAAGCACTGCCTTAACATAAGCATTATTCAAGTTTTTATCGAATTTTTATCAAAATTTGCAAAAAATATTAAGGGCGTCTTATTGATTAGTCTGAATGATCTGTCAAGTTTTGCAAATGAATTAAACTGTACAAATTTACTGTCAATTTTTTTTGTTTTTTACAAAAGCTTACAAATATGTGAAATGAAAGACGCAAAAGTAAACGATATTGTATGATTGAAGTAATTTATCAAAAAATATTTTCTTTTCTGAATTCCTTCGCCAAACTAATTATTGACAATTAAAAAGATGATAAATTGAAGAGGGAGATCAGACAAATTTCTTATGTAAATTTATTATCATTCAATGTTTATTAAGCTAATATAGCATTTAGAAAATAATTCTTATATATGATATTCATATGTTAATGTGTTGCAATTTCTTGTTTTGAAACGGCATTTTTACTCAAACAATATTGTAGAAATTTTATTAATTAGAAAAACTTTTATTTCAAATGTAATACAAGTAATTAATATGGTTGAAAAATTGGGTTCAGCATCTTTAAATAAAGATACAGTTGACGCAATTATCAAATTTAAAAAGCTCAGCTGAAAATTCGGAGACAAAGAAGTATCGCACTGGTAGTATAGAAATTAGTTAGAATAATATATTTAATAACCAGGTGCTGTCCTTGGTGGTGGGCAAGCATCACAAGAGCCTGGAGCACCAGCTTCGCCATCTGGTCCCCTGTCTCCATCAGCTCCAGGTTTTCCAGCTGGTCCATCAGCACCCGAATCTCCTGGCGGTCCTTCCGGTCCGTCTGATCCAGCTTTGCCAGGTTCACCTGCCTTACCATCAGGTCCAGGTGGTCCCGGTTCTCCCGCATTTCCTGCTGCTCCTGGTGGACCCTCTTTTTCAATGACAGTACCTGGTGGTCCAGAAGGACCTTTTTCACCGGGTGGTCCAAGAGGTCCTGGTGGTCCCTGTGGTCCTGGTTCACCAGGTGGGCCGCTGTCACCAATCGGTCCATCAGGACCTGGTGGACCCTGTTTGCCAGGCATTCCTTTTGGTCCTGCTGAACCAGGTGGTCCCGGAGGTGCATCAGGACAATCAAAGCACCAATCGATCTTCGGCTGCGTGGGTGGTTCCTGTGGAGCATCAGGACCATCTTTGCCAGGTGGTCCAGTTTCACCATCAGCACCGTCATTACCATCTTCACCCGGTGGTCCAGGTGGACCCGGTGGCGAAACACCACATCCGCAACATTCGCCTGACGGTGATGCCGGAGCACCACTGACATATCCTAAGGTTAAGTGACTCTGTCTTGCTTGTCGCACTCGCCGAACTCCATCTCCTACTTTCGCAAATACCTAAAAATACTAATATGTATGGATCGAGATTTTTTTTTCATAATTTTTCGAATGGATAAATAAAGCTGATATGAATTCCCTCACCATTTTTTAAAGATCATTCATTTTGCTTTTAAAATTTAATTAGCTAAACAGTCCTTTGATACAGCAAATATTAATATTGCTGAATAAAGTAACAATGATAAAGCATAATTTAAAACCAAAAATAATGTCCATTTTAATCAGTGCAGGTCACAATGAGCATAATTAATCTGAAGCTTAATAATTGATATTAAGTGCAGTTAATTGCTGAGAAATTCTTGTATAAAATTCAGGTAAATTGTCACTTTTATTTGAATTTAAAAGTAACTTATAATAGCTAACCTGCGTACGTGTCACTTCTCGCCATATGCTATTGGATCGAGATTTGCAGAAATCAACTTCTGATTGCATTATTGAATGCATATGCTGCAAGTAGTTGTAAAGAAGAGGTACTGAGATCACGCAAACTAATGTCGCAATTGTTGACAATGCTGTACCGACAAATGCCACGAATCTCAGATTCCTGCATTCCTGCTCCTTTTCCTTTTCGTACATATTCAATCTATAAATATTTAATATTAATTAAAATTAATAATACAACGTCAAAATCGACAATTTTTTGCCCAATTTTCCATGCTTAAATTTTTTTCTTTCCTTTAAATGTGAATTTAATGCTTAGAAACCATTTCTCGTTATTTATTATATTTTTAATTTCAAAAATCATTTGATCCATTTAGTTTTTCTGACAATTTTGATATTTGAATAATTTTTTAAATCTTTGACTTTTTTTCTCTCTCCCTTCTTCCATTTCTTTCTTTCCCTTGCAAAAAAAAAAAAATATTTTGTCTTTTTCCATGTCGAAGTTTTGAAATACATCGTTTGCCAAATGCTGGATTGTAATGAGAATATGTGTGACCAAAATAATTAATCATCGCAATTAATATAATCTCTATTAGATTCACTAATATCACTGAATAAATCAATTATGCTATTTGGGTTTATGAATTATAAACTTTATAATTGAAATGGAAAAGCATTTTCTCGAAATGACAGATTCAATGACAGAAAATTGCTTATCATGAATGTTAATGAATTTAACGATAAGCCAATTCTATAAAGCACAGCAGTGAATTCATAATGTATACAAGAAAGGTAATAAATCGATAAGAATAATTTCTCTTCTAGGAAGAATATAACTTGAATTGATTTTAGAAATGGAAATAAAAGAACATGAATAAGTTGACTACAAATGAAATAAAATTTTAAATTACAATTGTGTATTTGTTGATAAAACTTAAACCGTCTAACATTTTTTTCTCTCGCCAATCGTATTGAAATGAGATTACATGTTGATTGGGTTTGAATCTCAATCAATACATATTGGTTAAGATTTAGAAATTTTAGCTCAATATTTAGAAATTAAAAACTTAATTGATAATATTTAATGGGAAAATCGCAAAATTTAAGTGACTTTCATGGTGGTGTTGACAAGAAATAAAATTTGGAAAAATCAAAAAAAAAATAGAAAGAAATGGAAAAGAATTATGTTTGTTGATAAATGATCAAAAATGATGAAGAAAAAGTGATTGGACAGTGATCGTCTTTCCTTCTTTTTTAAATGCAGTTGTTAAACAGGGAAGGTGTGGGATTCTGATGAGAATAAAATCAAATAGACCGCAGTGAAATTGATATAATTTTGTGTTTGGAAGCTCTTAAAGTATAGCAGCTATTTCTGGCGGATCTCGGCAAGAGCGAAACCTTTAATCATCCGCCCTGATCCAAGTTTCTTCATCAAAAAAAATAGCGATATTAAGATAACCCCGCTTTAACGAAAAAAAACAACCGAATTTCTCTATAATCTGTCCTAAATTTTATTCTCATAACAAAGAAATTCAAAACGGAATCAGCAAAACCGCATGACGTTTCTCTTTTATCATATTCCGCTTTCTGCAAATTCTTCCATAATTTTTAATACCAATAAAAAATTCAATGCATTAATTATTTATATTCTATATTATGACTTCTCGATCGCCTCGAATCTATCTTTTAAGAAATATTTTAGTTGCATTTATCACATAGTTGCATGAATTATTTTCTGTGAAATCAATTCAAGAAATCACGATAAATATTTCATCTATTCGTTTTCTCCATCATTAATAAATCTTTATTATTATCATTATTATTATCATTATCATTATCGTTATTGTTATATATTGTTATTATTATTATTTTGTTATTAAATTTTTAATATCTAGAAAGGAAAATTTCCAATTCAGTTTCCTGTGATTATCAATAAACGACAATTTGTATTTATAACAATGAAAACATCCCCTCAAATGAAAGCGTAAAACATTGTTTAGCCAAGATTCATTTTTACAAACAATTAAGATTTTTCGAAATTCAAAAATATATATTCCATTGATTTTATATATTTTACTACGAAAAATGAATAAGAGAAAACAATGATGTTATATACTACATCGATGAATATAGATTATATTGAACCTGAAATCTTTTGATATGGTTCGAGAAAATAAGATTCAAAACTTGAAATTCCACTGAACATAATTCAAACTTTTAATACTTAGTAATTGCATATTTTTCAATAATTTAACAGCAATATGGTGATAAGTTCAAACATTGAAGTTCAAACACGCAATGTAATACAATTTACATGGAAGGCAGAAAAATCCACGAATAAAATCTGTGAATTTATTTTGGCTTAAACTTACTATGATTTCGTTCGCTCATTATATAATTAAACTACTTTGCTTAATCGTTATATTACTTAAGTATCTGTTCATATCAATGTGAAATCATCATGTTAAAAGAAGAAATAAACTATAATTAATAATAACTGATAACATGCATGACACAATAACAATACCTACGGCATTTATTAATTTAATAAATATTTTTAACAATTGAAAAGTTTAAAAGCTTGAAATGCATACCGCGAAAAATATTTGAACGAAGTGTTTTCAATATCTAAATGTTGTTTGAAGTTTTACTGCTAGCTGGGCATCTTTTATAAAGACGATGTGGGTGGAAAGAGAAGTAATTAAAAAATAAATTAACTGCGCAAACTGCTTTACGCAGTAACATCAAAGGTAATAGCGGAAGGGTGTATAGAAGCTTATCGTTCTGTTATTTCAATTTCAATCCGTCGCTTTCATCTCTCACTTTTCCCAAATATTCTAAAAAATTTTTAAGAAGAAAACGAACGAGTGAACTGTTTCACTGCATGTAATTTAAAAAAGAAAAAAAAAAATTAATTACGCCCTCGTAATAAAATATGAGTTGTGCGTTCAATATATCAAAAGATAACAAATGGTTGTGAATCGAAAGATAAATGAAAAAAAAACACTAAATATGCTATTTAAATTTTTATATTCCATTCTTAATAAATTGCTTTAAAAAATGATAAAATTTTTTGGATAATAGTTTTACATGCTATTCTTTACTTCAAATCTTTCATTTTAATGCTGAAATATGAATTTTTTTCTCCTCTTTTAGCATAACAGTAATTTAATTTTATTGTTCAGTTTTTTTCTTCTCGATATGTTATAACTTGTAGTTGTTAACAAATCGCCAACGTTTTCTTACCATATATAATTAAACGATTTAGGATTTTAATAATTTTAATTAATCAGAAGAAACAATTTATGTAAATGGAAGAAGGATAGCAATAATTTTGTCATTGGAAAATTTTCATTTCTCACTAAAATAAAATGATTAACAGTAGTAAATTTTGACTTTTAACAAATACGAAACTTTGGGCAATAATTCGTTATAAATGTTAAGTTATTGTTCTGTTGACATAAATTCATTAGAAGTAAATTTAAAAACTTATCGGGAATTACAATATTCAAGAAAGAAATTTCTTAATTCAGTTCGCATCAATTATTATGCAATGAATAATGCAATGAGTCATAACGAGATATTAAAATAAAAATTTAAAATGTAGCTTATTTGGAAAATATATTTGAAAACAATACCTGATATGACATTACTTTTTTCCCGTTTCACTCTTTTGCATCAATTGATGATGACACATATTTAAAATATGCATTACAAAAAAATAGTTTTTTAGCTACTGATAGATTAAAATGATCATTTTACGCCAGTCATTTTACATCCATGCTTTAAGTTTAAGAATTCTTCATGTTCCAAGTTATTGTGCTATAAAATCAAGTTTGAAATAATTGATGCATTTTTAGAATTGAATTATTCGTTGCCATTGAGCAAAAACTTGTTTTCATTCCATAGCTTTCAATTTACATTTAAAAAATGAAATACCAGCACTTTAATATTTGAAATAATCATTTTCAGAACCATTATATTATCATAACAATCACCTTAATATTTGATATGGTACTAGAAATATTTTTTTAAAAAATATGCACATAATATAAGTCAAAGTAGCAAGTTAAAAGACATTTTGCCTTGCAAAAAAATATTACTGAAGATTAAACATATTAAAGATTTTATTTTATTTATTAAAGTATATATTTTTCTCCTGATAAACGTATAGATGATAGTGATATAAATTATGATCACATATACATTTATCTTTTTTGGCTTAATTATAATGAATGAATTCACTATGAAAAAGATTATAACATGCATGCAGCAATCATTAATTAATTATATATTATGACTATTCCAACAATAAATGAAAATAATTTTTGTGCAAAAAAGGCAATAAAATGTTTGGAATTTTTTAATTGGTCTTTAAATATCATTAAAGACATCAATGATATTATTCATTCATTAATTATTTTAATCACATCTGCCAGTAATCATTTTAGTATAAAATACATTTTCAACTATTTAAATGATAATTTGTTATATTTTTCTTTTCCTTTCTAATTTATCTTTGAATTATTAATTTTAGCATAATTAATCGAAGAATAATAAAAAAGTTCCACCTTGAAAATCGTATTTTTTTTTTTGAAACTTCAAATTAAGAAAACATCCTTTGACAATGCTTTAAACTTCAAATTATATTTCAAATCTCTTAAATATGCTAATATCAATTTGATATCAGAGTAGTACTTGGTAATAATCGAAAAATGTCATTTTACAGTGCAACAATGTAATTTTAAATTAAATATACAAAATCAAAAATTGGGTACATCAATTAATTTGAGTACCTATCATAGTGAATCGTTTGCATCAACGATTCAATCAGTAAAACCATTCATGGAATGCAATAATCTTATGCTTTGTTTATCATTTTTTATGATGCTGAAGGTAAATTTCATTTATTACTATTTGTTTCCTTTTATTTTTTGAATTATGTTAAAAGTAAGATTGATATGAAGTAAGAAGCATTTATTTTATTTTGTTCTAACTATATCCATCATTTCTATGAAAATTAAAAAGAAAAAAATGATTGAATCAATATTTAATTCTTTATAAATTAATAATAATATCGTTGAATGAGAAGTTTTGTAAATGATGTGAAGCATCGAGATCATTCTGCAATTCAATAAAAGCAAAATAGTTTCTGAAGATTCTGGAAGAATTTTTAAAATTGCGCTTTCTATCCATCAAATAGAGTGAAGGCAAAAAAGAAGAAGAAGGAGTGATCCGATGGATCCTGTTTTTCTCGTCCTATCTTCTATTTTTGCTTTTCTTAATGAAAGAAATAAAACAATCAATCAGAGCGTAAAAAACTTTCATATATCACATTCAATTCAAAAGCTAAACATCAATAAAATCGAATTTTTTTTAGTTTTTTGTCAACACTTAAATAAAGTTTATATTTCATTGGCTAAATCAAATTTTAAATTATCATTTCATGTATGATTATTTTTTAAGCACTTTTAGTTTTTTTCTCCTCTACTGAAAATTTCTGGTTCATTGAAGAAAATTTTAAACTTTGATACAGTTTGAAATTATGGAAATGATTTATTAAAGGAAAGTTTTTGTATGAAATGAAATCAATAAATGACAGTGAAAGGCAATTCTCAAATTGAATCTTTTATTGATAATTTTTTTTGAACACAATTTTTGCGACATTATTTTAAAAAAAAAAAGATATATTTCATTCGTTCAGCAGTGAAATTGATCTGAAACCATCAATAATGGAAAATTTTAAATTGTTTTTCCACTCCTCTCTTCTATTGTTAAATCAGATACTTTCATCTGAAATTGTCAAAATAATATTATTGTTTCCAGGGTTTGATTCAAATTGTAAATTGCTGAATCAATTTCCATTAAAGCAAAAATGCTCACTATTTCATCGATGTCCAGCCATTTCCTTTAAATAAAAAATTCAATCAGCTGGAACTGCTCCTTAAACTTATAAAATTGGCTAAATTTAATAGTCAACAATTTCTTAAATTCTTTTGTCAAATTTTAATAACTGCTATGAATATAATAGATGCAATTTTCAATTCTTAAGTTTTTCTATTCACATTATATTTTTTGGTAAAATCATTAAATGAAAATTGTTTGACATGCAGATAAATAACTACTTTATGTTAATTTCCCATTATAGCATTCACTAACAATTTGTAGCAAAATATTAGATAAAATTATTTCATTTCAGCTAAAAATAGAAAAGAAGAAAAAGGAAACTAACTCCAACGAGTTGTCAGTGCCGCGGGGAGTTATTTTTATCTCAAATGCAAAATCGTATTTTACTAAAATCTTTTTTTTTTGAAATTCAAAAAATTTTCTTATATTTTGCTTTGTTTCTTCTAATTTTTTTCACTTTTCTTTTTTTTCTTTTTTCGGATTCAAGAACTTGAAAATTTTAAGCATAATTAAAGAAATGGAAAAATAGCTTGATTTTATGATAACTTTCAAATTGATATTCAGAATTCTTTGATTATTTGATTTATCTCTACATGGTCATTTTTTCTAGTGCCATCTTCAACAATGATAATTAATTTCGAGAGTGAATGCAACACGAAATAATTAAAGCTTAATCATGAAATGGTTATTTTGATGATTTTGATTAAATCAATTTTAAATTTAATGACAAATAATCCGTGTTAAATATAAATAAAATCGGTGAAAAAAAAGCATCATTTGCTGGTTATATCTCTGAGTGTTACTTTCAATTCAATGTTCATATTTTTATCGTGTACGATAACGTGAATAAAATGTAAAAAAAAAAAAAAAAAACAGGTTTGATGAAAATGATAACGATCTGCAACTCTATCATGTACACATGCTTGGTCGCTTTTTGTTCAAAAAATTATAAATACTTGCTTTAATTTTTGAGAGAAGAAACATATTGAATCAGATTAAATGGATAATATTCTGAATATCTACCAAATATCCACTCACATTATGTTAATAAAAGAAGGATGGTTGTTAAATTTTCTGTAATGATAGGTTTTTCTGTAATGATGGTTGTTAAATTTTTTGTAATGATATATTGAACGATAAATTATAATGCCGCGGCGGTCATCAGTTATAAGGTGACCAACAATTTGTAAACTTTTCGCATCAATTGGTCATCAAATTTTAGTGTTATTTGTGTGAATAATTAAACAAAATGACAGTGTATCGACGCGGATGATAGGTATATATAAGTTTTGCTTGGCAATTGTTGAATTAATTAAATCATTTGTTTATGAAAAAATGACAAATTACTTGCCTGAATAGTAAATCAAAATCTTTATTCTTATTATGTAAGCATTAAATTCCCATTGAAAATTTTTTAAATTATTATTTTCTAATAAATTTAGCAGCTAAGATTTTTTTTTTTTAGAAAAAATTCAACATTTCCAGATTGCACTGCGCAATAATTTCTGAGATAATACCAAAAATTGGAAAGATAATGTGCATGTTCGATTAACAATTAAGAATTTATAATTTAAAAAGAAGGACTTTTTATGAGAAAGACAAATTATTGAGCATTTGTAGCCAAAAAAATTTCTTTACAGTACCAATCATTTGTTAGTAACCTTCCATTAAAATTCAAAAATTTCTCCATATTTCTTTGTAAAAGTCAAACTTTTTAAATTTCTTCCTATGTTGTCATCAATTTTTTAAATTAAATATCATTTTAAAAATGAATCAATCAAACTGAAAAAACTATTTCCACATTTTCATGAACTCATTCGATGAAATCACAATTTCAGCTGTCCTTACAATATGGACAATGGCATCATATCATAAATTCAATTAATCAATTAATCAAAAATAGGAAAAAACTTGAAGATTTAGGTAGTTTTTTCATCGTCTCTATCCGATACAGCTGCAATGTTTAGAACAAAATTATTTTCTGCGTATTTTTTTAAATTAATTAATAAGGAAGATATTTTTGGAGAAGAGAAAGAGCAACTATGAATATTAAAGATACTCATGTTCTTGTGAAAAATTCAAACCGCTGATCTGAGTATAGCTAAAGATTTCACCACAATTACTGATAAAATTAATACGCTTTTTTGTGGTAAATTATTGAAATACGACGTTTTAATCTGTTATAAATCAAATTTTTTATCTTCTAGTAGATAAATGATTGAAAAATAGTAGTTGCTAAAGGCTTTTCGTCCTTTTGAATTAGTTCAAAAATTGCAACTGTAAACATACCGATGTTGCCGCGACACGATATGTCATAGAATTCATCGTTCCATCTGTTCTTATCTATTGTAAAATGGTGATGAATCATTCATAAATATGTAATCAGAACACGTATTCGTTGTTTAGTACGTGATATTTCAAAATTTAACTTTTTTTTTCTTTCATTTTCAGTTTTCCGTAACAATTACATTTGCTGGATATTATTTCATGTAGTGTATACAGAAAATAATTTTAAAAGCTTTTTGTTCTGATAAAGATATGCAAAATAACATTTAAAGTTTAATTACAATCTATAATTCTTTTAATGATTATTACTGTTAAATTGATTACAAAAAAACGGAATAGTTGGTGAAAAGGGAAATGAAACGGTTAGTGAATGAATCAGGAAGGAAACAGCTGGTGATGAATTAGGAAGAAAAGGGAATAGTTAGTAAATGAATCAGGATCAGGGAGGAAACGGTTCCTGAATGAATTAGGAAGGAAACGGAATGGTTAGTGAATGAAACAGGAAGGAAATGGAATGGTTAGTGAATAAACCAGGAAGGAAACGGAATAGTTAGTGAATGAATCAGGAAGGAAATGGAATGACTGTTATTAAATTGATATGAAAAATGACAAATTAACAATTATCATTCGATTTTGTTAAATAATTAAAAAATATGCAAAACTATAAAGTATCGAATTCATTAATATCATCGAAATAAAATATTTCAAAATCTTTAGCAATTTTACTGACAAACTGATCAATGTTTAAATTCCAATAATTCGAAAAAAAGATAAATTTTTTTATGAAATTGATCGAAAAAATATGATTCATGCAAGAAAAAGATTGAACTTTTCGAATTAACAATTTCGATGCAAAGTAATTTTTCATCTACTCCTTAAGTTCTAAACTATTCTGCGAGTATCAATAAATTTTTCTTTCGAGAAAAATGTTTGCAAAATTTTTTGCATTACAACTGATAAAATAATGAATGGAATAAAATTTTAAAATTATAAATCAATCGTCTGTAATTTCAATCGGGACATGATGCCAAGCATTGTTAAGCAAACCACGAATGTTCCAAATTCCTCGGGATGTATCCGGTTGTGTATTGTAGGAACGATCGGTTGCCTTGCATACTAAATCTAATTTTTTCACACCATCCGGAATTTTTATTGTTGATTTAAAGAATGTCCATGACCACATATGATCCTTTAAAATGTTTAATTTAAATAATTTAATCCATTTTCATTTTTCGAATAATTCATTGTTAAATTTGGCTCACTTTGCTAACAATCATCTGAACTTAAAATTTGGATTTAAATATACAGTAATTGTAGAAACATACAATATCCTGATCAGGATCCTGCACTAACTGAGCAGCTTGCCACGTTTCACCACCGTCTATTGACACTTCCACACGTGTGATACCACGTCCACCTCCACTCCAAGCATAACCCATCACATCGAATTGATCACTTGCTGTACAAAAAATGAAACTTTTTAACGGTATTGGTAAAATAGTATTTTAATGTGAGGAATAGAAGTTTATGATATTTTGATATACTTCAATTACGAGTTATCTGTTTTTAAGATTTTACAAGAAGTTTACTCTCATCAAAAATGACAAATAAATTAATTCAATGGAAAAAAGAGCAAAAGTACAGCGTGATAGTTTTGTTGGCCCAGTTGGATAACAAAAAGCACTTTGTACTGGACAGTCCTGTATTGAAGGTGACAGTTCGAAATTTTGTTGATCTGTTGGACCAATAAACGGTGGAAGACTTCTAAAATATCAATTATCGTTGTATATAAGTACGAATTATAATTCATGTAACTTTACAAATTATATAATTCGTAATTCTGAATTTCACTCTTTAATGAAATTCAAGTTAGAGATAGTGAAATGACAATGCTCAGTACAATATGATGAATATATTTCCCAAAACTTCAAGTAAATATGCTATCAGAAGAAGATTAAGCAGTTCTAATCAAGCTGTTTAATGTTCAATAGAAAAATCTATAATATTTAAAAGATACAACATGAAAATTTCATTCCAACAAATTTGCTTTAAAATTGTGGACACATAACATTTGAATTATTTCTTTAACTAAAATGGATTTCAACAAAAATTAATCAAACTGATATTGAACAAAATAGAAAAATAAAAAAAGCCGAAAAAATTTTGTTTAATAAAAATTCTCATTTTTAATTGTATTCATTTTCTCACAACGATCAAATTCAAATCACAACTAACCTATAATCTCTTCTCTGCCAATGTGATTTACTTTCTTCATCGCTAAGGATTATGGCTGAAAGGAATTTTACCTGACGTGCGCCCACAATTCCTACAAATTTTTCATAATTCAATATTTGAATGAAATTCCATTCGCTTTAAAGATATCTAATTTTTTTATCTATTAAACATGCAAATAAGCTTATTTCTGACATTCAGCCCAGAATCTCTCACCCGGAGCAATCAATCGCATTGGATATCCGTGATCTCGCGGGATATCTTCGTCATTCATTCCATATGCAATAATAACTTCATCTTGCATAGCTTTGTCAAACGTTATCGATGCTTCATAGTTGTTACCTACAATAATGATAATCAATAATAATTAATAATAATGAATAATATAAAAAATAATAATAAACAAAAATGATGATAATAATAAGTGATAATAATATATCTCAACTCTAATTTCTCATTAATAAGAGTATAAAAAAATTAAAACAGATCGATTCTCCTGAGAATAATGCAAAAACATTCTGCCGGATCTTTTTAGCTTTCCGATTTTCTAGACCTGAAACAATAAGGTTATAAAACAGTACAATATACCAACCCTCACTATCCACATCGGCTCCACGAAATATAACATGCTTAATACGTTTATCATTCGGATTTATACCTGCTTTCATCAGGACATCCTGAACAATATTTTAAACATGAATTTAAAAAACTGCTAGAGAAATTAGAAATTAGTTTCTTAAGAATTTTTTAAATAATTTTTCAAGTGTTTACATTAAAAACCAAAATTTGCCCTTCAAATAAACTTAATAGGTACAAAAAAATCGGAAGAATAAAAGCATGCTTTTAAGCGTACACCGGTCCATTTTGCATTACCTACTGCCGAATTCTTCCAATTCAATCCTTGAACCTGAAGGTTAATCGTTTGTTCATATTTTTGCACAAATATCAATGATATTTATAACATGACAATGTCTATGATATTTCATGAAGTTCGTATAATCATGATAATTCTGTAGAAATTATTAAAGGAAAGAAATTAATGTAAGTTGCTTGTTTATTTTCGTTCAGTGATTCAAAATTGATGCCAGCAATTAAGGAATGTAATGACTGGAATGAAAAAAAATTAAAAGTAAAATTAACAATCGAAATTAATGTTAATCGAACATATCAGATTGAGTTACAAAATCAAACCTTTTTTACTGCATTCATTTCACTACGTCGATTACCGGCGCATTGCAAAGTGGCATTAACGGATACGCACGTAAATTCACATTTGAGATCATTCAATGAAAGGATGAAAGGTTGTTGAAGAGAGATGCCTTCGATTATTAATTTATGTTTTTTTGCGTCAATCTGCCTACGAAAAATGTAAAATGATTATTGTTTATGGTCAGTTTGATTTGATGAAAATAGAAATAGGAAATATAAAATAAAAGGAAAATAAAAAATAAATAAATAAACTCGTAGCTTTGATAAACTTTTATCACTAATCAATGAGATAAAATATTATGCATTTTAAATTACTTTTGCTAACTTTACATTAGTGCTAGGAGTTTTTTCATTTTTTTATAATATTATTTCTAAATTATCAGTTGTACATATATTCAAAAATATAATATAATTATTGGTTTAATTAGTTGAATTTACGGTTCTAATCAAAGGAAAGAAGTGAAAAAGTATAACTTCCATCGGAAATATTTTTTGAAACAATTCTTTTTTTTGCAAAACTTACAACTGGTACTGGCATGTGATTTCGAACATAAAATAGATCATTTGGTGTGTAAAAATTATCCATTAATAATTCGGCCGGTGTTTCAGCATTGAACGGTTTTTCGGATTTTACGATCAGTGCTGGATGGCGTTTTGGATCATTGCGGTAGGGATCATTTTCATTCTGAAAAAAATGTTTGAGAAAAAAAGCAACACGTTTTTTCGTAAAATAAATAATGTGGTATTAGCAAAAGTTGCTAAGTTTCTCCTAATTTTTAAAATCGTAAGTTGGAAATGAATAATATACAGTATTAAAACTTTACATATATAATTTATATATATAATATTACAATATATGATATTACAACTTCAAAAAAATTTAATATCGTTGATTTTTCAAATATGTATATTTTCGCGATAAGTGTGATAAAATGCCAATCTTACGTAATAAGGTCAAACCTTAAGTTCGATAACTGTGATATCCCTTTTATCTAAATTACCGATTCTTAACTCTTCTAATATTTCGATTGTCTCTGGTGTTAGATGTTGCTGGTAGATATTCCAATATGGATCAATAGGACCACCTGCAGCTAGAAGTATTTTATCACCACCCGGATGGCTTTGAACAAAATTTGTGATATCATAGACACCCTGAAAAAATACTGAATTATGAGAACGCTTAAAATAATAAGAAAAACAAGGAAGCTTAGTTTACGATAATTTCACACTCTTGCAAGTTCGTTAATTTTTTTAAATTACAAAAATACCTATGTTATATCTGGTACTTTATGCTATACTTGAATTAGCTCCTCAGGTCTCTTATAATTTTTTGAAAAACTGAACTCATAATTAATTTGTCATGAATACTGTTATAATATTGAGTAATCGTATAAATAATTAGTTGAATTATTTTATCTACTTGATTTCACTCTATCATAAAAGGTATCTGTCTGATTTTATCATAAAGCTGTCTTCGAAAATTAAATTTACCTTTCTTTCAAAAGTGTCTCTCATGATTTTATTCAAATAATTAAGTAAGCAAACATGCAATAAATTAAATATAGCAAACAAAAAATATTGTATTCAGTCTAGAAATGTATATACGATATATTTGATTAAATATCACTTAGTAACTGAAGAAATGCAAAATTAAAATGAATTGCATGAAAAAAATGCAAACCTCTTGAAAAGTAACCCAAATATTTTCGGCATTTCTTCCATGTTTTTCTACTTCTTCCATTCGATAAAATGGTAAATCATTTCTTATTTCAATCTTCACATTATTTCTTCCATCAGCACGTCCTATTCCAATGATATGCTTCTGAATTGATGCGCCACTAATCAAAGTTAATACACCAAAACAACCAATCAAAATCCATCCTTTCGTATTATTTTCGGAATTTTCTATAAAAAAAAGTTTTTCAATTCAATTAATTCAGTTTTATTAGTCGTATATATCTGTCCCTTGAAATATTCCGGAATTGTGCAAACATTCATTCATGGAACATGTCAAATCGCTGGGTGGCATTTAATATGTCTGATAGCGAAAGCCAAATGGTTACGGCGTTAAAGTTAAACAATAGTTGACATCAACAATAAATAATTAGTTGATCCTCACTGCATTCAAGATTTCGAAGAAAATTCAAGCCAACAGTTAACGTCAAAGTGATCGCAATAAAATTTGAAGAATAGCCAATAATTATTAGCCATAACGAATGTTTAATTCATATATTTGTTGTTATATTGTAAATTCCCCACATTATATTATTAAAATAATGAGCAATTTTCGATGAAAATTTCTTAAAACATTAAGAAAACTAACTTTTTTCATTTTTTCGAAAAAATATTTTCCAGAAAAAAAAATTTGCAAGATGATTAGAACAATCACTGAGAAAAATATGTGAGACACACTTCTGCAGCTTAAAGAAGTCAAACTTTTGTAATTTAAAATTAACAATTATTTACTCAAGTATTTTAACTGAATTTAGTATGTAAAAGGTCAAGAGATCAAAATAAGCTGTAGTAATAGTAGAAAAAAGAATAAATCATCAAACCTGATGGCATTAGCGATACGTTTGAAGGATTATTCAATAGATGGTACCGTGTGGTAGCAATTTTAGCATAACGGACATTGGTGACAATATATTCACGTGTCAGTCGTCGACATACCACCATATGACGAAGCCACATCATCTTTAAAACCATATTACTGCAAGTTAAATGAAAATTTTGCAATATTACGAATATGATAAAACTATCACACCGCAAGAGTAACAATTATTGTTAATTAATTTGCCAGAACAGTTTTTATACTATCTTAAGAACATGAATAGTGAAATGGAAATAAAAAATCCTGGTACAAGAAAGACAGAGTAATAATATTAATTATCAGTAGTCTTTCTTTTTCATTTTACTTTCTACACCATTATTTAAATTTTCAATTGTCTTTTTGGGTATAACTATCTCACTGATTGATCCATAACTTTTAGATTAACGAGGATTTTTTTGGCACCGAAAGATTTCTGTAAATTCATTCATTATCATTAATGTCACTAAGTATTGCAAGAATTATTATAACAAGTTAAATTGAACAAAGGAAAAAAATATTTTCATTATCGATTTTCGTTTATTAATTTAATGTTTTCATAGGGATGCGCTCATTCTGATGAAAACGTTAAAGAATTTTTAGTTACATCCAAAACGTTTGAAAAACAGACATCAAAGAAGTAGCGAATGTGCGGCAGAAACAGGTGACGAGAGTCAGTCAGTCTTCTGCGCCTCTTCAACAATATTTAGTAGAAATAAAACCAAATAATTAATGATAATGAATGACTCATTATATATGAAAATGACGTATGATTGATATTGTTCAAGATCATTTCAATTATATAATGCTTAGAAATGGCATTATTGATTGATTTATAATAAAATATCATTTAAAGAAAAATTTTATTTGCTGCAAAAAAATTACTGAAGAGCTGTAAGCAAAAAACTAAATTTGTTGAAAGAAAGAAACCTTATCATTTAATGATATTAGCATATGTTTTTTTTAGAATTTAAATTTACATCACATCTTGCAAAATCTATTCTCTTACAAAAAAGATTATCGGATGTTAACAAATGTTCTTTTACTTTTGCAAATATTAATAATCACTTATAATTTTACATTTACAGTTTTATTAACGCTTATTTGAACACGTTTTGGAATATTAGAGTTTAGCAAAAAACAGCGTTTTTTCAAAAAAGAAAAATCACTTTTTGGAACTTTGTTTGCTTTTCGTTCAACTGGAAATGTAAGCCACTATTGAAGTCTGATTTGCTTTTCATGTTAGGACTTCAAATTGTAGTTTTGGTAGTTTTATTTTTGAACAAGACAAATTACATCATCGATTAACAGCGTTTTCGTCAATTAAATATAGGTTTAACAGATCGATCTAGATTTTTTTATTTGAAAACGATCTAACTTGATGTTGAGATTAAAAAATATAATCTTACTTGCTAGATTTCGAAAAAGTGAAATTAAAGGTTAGATAATGCATAAAGATTGCAGAAGAAATACTTTCATGCAATCTCATAAATCAAAAAATACATTTGTTCAATTAAAAACAATTTGTAATGTATACCATCAAAAAAATTATTATGATTTATTTAGAAGTAAAAAATTTACTAATCGCACAAGAAAATGATCGTTTCATGTTTAAAATGTACATTTTCAATGAGTTAAATGATTAATGCAAACCATTAATTAATTAGTATGGTAAAATAATAAGGCAAAATCAAAGGGAAAATCCTGGAATTATTCCAATTGAAAAGTGCCATTTTGAATCAATTGATAAAGTGTCGAATAAGTTCCATCGGTAGTGGAAAAATTATCGTCGAATTTTTTTCGGCTCTAAATTTGAAAAAAAAGAGAGACTTGAAATTTGAAATGAAAATTTTATTAAAAACAAAATAAAATTCTGAAATATTAACTTTTAAGAGCAGAAGATACAATGGCGAATATAAGTTAGTTAGTTTTAAAATACAATTTTTTTTAAGAAAAAATTTTTTTAAATACTTACGCGACACTGCTAAGTGTTTGCAGATAGCGTAATTGCAGTGCTGCAGGCGATTTTGATATTGTCAATGCCGCCTCTTGAAGTGAATGTGATGCTTTTTGTTCACCCTCCGCTGCGATTACCTGCAAAATGCAAATAACATTATTGAAAATTGATACAGCAATGTAATGTTAACAATTTGGAAAAATGTTCACAATTTGAAAACTCTGATTTATATAACAAAAATTAAAGATTTGTAATGATAATCTTAAAAAAAAAGTCTTGAAAAAGATTAATTAAAGCAAACGAAAAAGAATTTAATTATTTTGACATCATCCGAAATATATCGCTTAGCAGAAATATTGAACTGTTTGAAATGATAGCAATTTCAATCTTTTGTTTTTTGTTTTCATTAATTTTTAATATTAGTCAAATGAGGTTAAAAATTTATTTTGTGCAAAAATTTCGATTTTATACTTGTATATTGTATATTGCTGTATATTGTTAAAAAAAATTCATTCTTAGTAAAAAGCTCATTTACTCGAGGTTTTAAATTTTTTACGGTTGTGCACAGTTTTCAGTGATTTTAGTAAATAACAAAGTTTTTTCAGGTAAATAAGAGAAGGTCAGAGAGAAAGAGAGAGAGAAACCTTAGCTCTTGCTTCACGAGCTGCTTCCGCTTCAGCAGCCATTGCACGCTGGAGCTGTATCGGAAGACGAACATCTTTTCTGAAATAACCGTTGTCATTTCCGGAGCAGCGATAACATCATCTCATTCAAAGTTATGAAAGGTAATTATAGAAAGGTAGCGCAAAAGGATGTAATGGTTTGGTGAGTCATTTGCGCCATCACAGCCATGGGAGAAAATGATTATCATCGATAAGCGTTTTAGCGGAATGCATTCCTACAATGACTGAATTATCTTCCAAGTGAATTTCTGATTTTGAAAAAATAATAAGTAACTTGGGGAAAGTGAATTGATTTGCACTAAACAAATTTGGTTTGAAAGTTTTTGACGGACGATTTGTTTGTGTTATAAATGGCCTTTCTGCCAATTAACAAAAAGACAGGTAAATAATTAAAATAATATACATTTCAACTCTTTCGACTTTGATTCCCCATCTTTCCGTGACATCGTCCAGAAGTGCCTAAGAAAGCAATTCGCTAACATATCAAAGATATTTATAAAAAAATTTAATTGCAAAAATTCATGATGTATTTTTGAAAATATAATAAAATGGTGAAATTCGTCAATTTAAATGTTTATATGATGTCAAATAAAATTGCAAATTAAATAAAATCATTGAAGAAATTACGCATCATTTAAAAGATATTTTTCAAATATTTTCCAGAAGAAATGAAATTTGGGAAAAAGTTTCGTCTTGGAACATTTTCACTTTTACTTTTACTATATTTTTACATTTTCTTTTGAATTATTATTTTACACCTTCAAGATTAAATTCCTCATTTTCATGCTCTCCTTCTTATTAAAATTTTAATAGCATGAAGAATGAACTTTAACCTGCATGGACAATGCGATAGCATCACGATCAGATAAAATTTCTGATAGATTTTTGATACCTAGCATATTGCGTAATGTTGTTTGTGCCAGTAATCTGGTGGAATGATGAACATTTTCCACATTTGCCACTGATATGGTGGCATTACATATCCGATAGTATACCACAGCATCTACACTTACTGTTACGGAATCCTTTGTTAGAATCTGAATGGTCGATAACCAGAATACAATGAAAATAGGGAAAATAAAATTATAAGAAACTTTGTTATCAATGAGATAAATGTAATAAATTATATATCTCTTATCAACAATTTCATTATTACACAGTTACTAAGCTATCATCATTTTGTTTGCATCAGAATGAAACTTTACTTACATAGCTATTTGATGATATATTTCAGTGATTATTTAATTAATAATGAGCAATTTATCAGTCAGTTTAGTCGCTAATTGTACTAACGCATTATTTTAGAAAGCACAAAAATTCAATACACTAAATGGTATAACAATTAGTGATTAAATTAATTGGGATAATTAGGTATGTGGAAAATAAACTTCTTGCGGTGGTACATTGAATGATACTGTGCGTAAATCCACTTTAGTATATGATTCTATACATGGTAATACAAAAAATATCCCTGAAACTTAATTAGTGATATAATAATTAGTATTTGATTATTAATTATATTCTATTACTTAATCATTTTGAATAATTCTAAAAGAGATAAAGTGTAAAGTTCAATTCAAAAAATTTCTGATTGCAAAATTCCAATTTATACCTGGACCTTTTGCGCCACCTCCAATTAATCTACCCAGCCGAAATATTACAACTCTTTCATATTCTCGAGCGACCTGAAAGTAGTATTCGATTAATTTTCTAGTAACAAAAACGAAAAACTTTTGTAATTTCTTTCCATTTTTTTAGTTTTTTCAAAAAATAAGCTTTTTCTTGTCAAATTTAAGAATACTAGCCAGTAGCTCTTAACTTAAACACTACAATTAATCTTTCAATATTTATTGCAATTTAAATAAATTACACAATAGAATAGAAATCTATTCTAAATTTGAAATGAATTAGGCAAATAAGAAGGAAATGTTACCTTAAGGCAGAAACAGACAGATATGGGAAATGTAGAAAAGAATATAATCCAAGTAATCATGATAACAAACCATCCACAAAATCCAACATTGCTGTCATAAGTATCAGCTAAAGTGCCATTTCTATTTTTAGCATTAATGATAAACATAAAAAAATTGCAAATATTGAAAAGAAGAGGAAAATATTTTAGGTAAATATGATTTATGAGAAATATATTTTGCTTGTTTATCAAAAAAAGAAGATTGTTATAAAATTTTTGAATGATGCAGTATGTTTTTAATTCACCGTTTAGTTATTTATTCCACTCATTTACTTATGCTTTTTATGCAAATTAAGGAAGTAAATATTTATTGTAATAGCAAGGGAGCATAATTTACTACGTAAATAAGTTATTCAATACACATTGAAAAATGTTTAACAAAAGAAGGGAAAAAAATTTTAAGAAATGAAAAAATTCAATCAGTAAATTTTATTTTTATTAAATTTTTTTCCAACGAAATTGATGCAATTTATTTCACACAAACATACAGAAGACAATACATTTTGCTTTATCAAAAAAATTGTAAAAAACTTTGAGAAGAAACTTTTCATCAAATCAACTGATCTTTTTTTATATCATTCATTATTTTTATCCATCGTCTTACTTTGGAACTTCTTTTCTCTTTCTTGTTCACTTTAGCAATTTTTCCCAATTACTTCTTATTTGTTATAATACTATCTGGCAAAAAACAAAAACTGAAACAATGCAATTGTAATTGTATGTCCCAATTGCATTGTTACAAAAATCAGAGATCGAAATTTACTATGAGATGATATTTTACAATGTTTGAAGTTGTTTAAATTTTTACTAAAAAGAGAAATAGGTCATAACGAAATGATTTACACTGTCCGTTTAAAATGAATAATGCAGCAAATTTGAATGAAAAAATTAATGAAATAAATAGTGATTATCCTTGAATATTTGTTCAAATAAGGCATTATTTGCCTTACTTACAAAGTGAAGAAATAGCTTAGCAAATTTTATTGTGACACATAGTGGCAAACTTTGACATATAGATTTGCTGTGATTACTATATGATCATATATATAAAATAAGAAATTAATTGCATATTATTCTTAAATTTCCATTTTTAAAAATTATAATATCGTCAATTTTTGAAAATCATATATTTCACGAAATATGAATATAACTTAAAATAAAAATTGAACCGTAATAATGCAACAAAAATAATAAAAATCTGAAACAAAGTTTTTGCAAATTTAAATAATTTTCGCACATTAAAAGCCATTTTTAAAATAATTTTTTTTTGATGTGAAGAAAATTTAAAAATTAAGTTTCATATTTTTTATTAAATTTTCTACTTTTTATTTTCTACTATTATTTAAAGTTACAATATTAACATAAATATAGTCTCAGCTTCAATATAACTATTAAAATTATTTTTAGAAAGTTAAAGCACTTTTTCAAGAATTGCATCCTATTTCACTCTTTTTGTTTTTTTATGCTATTTTTTAAACCCATTTTTTCATTTTCAAATCATAAAAATAGTGAATAAATTTGCATTAAATTATATCTTTCGAATATTTTAGCAATTTATGCTGCATTTTTCCATTTCACTTCAAAAAGTTTCATTTTATTTAATT